CTGTAGAACAATTTATTCACATTAGTTTTGTAGAGTTCTTTGTGGATGGCTAAATAAGGGCTTAGATTATGTTATGAATTGATTTGAGTACCCATGCTGGCTGCAATTGCTACTATACAAGTAAAGTCAATTTACCATACAATTAATCCCATCATTTTACCCAAATATGTCAAAGGCAGCTGTATCCATTATGTTACCTCTGGCAGAGGACAACAAGCCCAAGAACCCTCTTTGGTTTTACAGCAGGTGGTGCCATCAGGACAGCCCACTTTGTCATCACACGGGACAACCTTCACCTCCGTCTGAACATCCTTTCTGGGAATGGAGGAAATCTTCTTGACCCAGGGAACAGACTGTTGTCCTCCATCACATGTCTGAGCAGCCAGGTTACATGTTTGACCTTTAGGACAGCAATGGATGAAGTCTTGACAGCAAACAGCCTGAGGATGAGAAGATCAGATGAAAACCATCAAACTCGAACTCTTACTCTTATAGCAGTCCTCCAACGAGAGTCGGAGGTTTGAGTGCACTAGTTTTAAGCCATGTGTTCAAGTGTCCCTGATAATAATACTGAAGCCCTTATTGTCTCTAAATCTCACCCCATTATAGTATGAATGTGATCTAAAGCATTGATTAGACTCTGTAGAACAATTTATTCACATTACTTTTGTAGAGTTCAGTGTGGACGGCTAAATAAGGGTTTAGATTATGTTATAAATTGATTTGAGTATTCATGCTGGCTGCAATTGCTACTAWACAAGTAAAGTCAATTTACCATATATTTAAGCCCATCATTTTACYCAAATATATCAAAAGAAGCTGTATCCATTATGTTACCTCTGGCAGTGGACAACAAGCCCAAGAACCTTGTTGGGTTTTACAGCAGGTGGTGCCATCAGGACAGCCCACTTTGTCATCACACGGGACAACCTTCACCTCCATCTGAACATTTTTTCTACGGACTGTGGACACCTTCTCAGTCCAAGGAACAGAACCCGATCTGTCATCGCAGGTCCCTTTAGCCTTGTTGCATCTTGTACCTTTCGGACAGCAGTGTTCCAAATCTTTACAACAAATGGCCTGGAATGACAGAGGTGGACAGGCAAATATAACTATTTAATATGTTTAAGGTTTGCAAGTGATGAAGGGAAATTTTAAAGACAACATCATACGTCTTTAAGATGACAGCAGCTCCAATCACCATGTTTGTTTTTACAGCAGGTAGAGCCATCAGGACAAGCTGCAGTCTCGTTACATGCGACTTCTTTAACTGGAGAAAGAATAAAAAAYAACAAATAGAACAGGTTTTTGTACCTTTCGTACATAACAGACTAAATCTGCTTCAGAAAACATGTTTCATTTTTAACTTGTTATGCTACTTAAAGTTTGTAGCTACTGTTTTGCTTATTTTAACTGTAGCATCTGATTCTCTACTTTAAACTAAAATGTGGCATCTATATTGCTAATTTTAGCTACTGTTTTGTTATATTAGGATACAGTTTGTTTCATTTAGTTACTTTTAGTCTACGGATAACATTCTACTATATTTAGCCACAATTTTTACAACTTTACCAGATATTCTGCTCATTTTAGCTGTAGCATCTGGTTTGCTATTTTAGCTATAGTTTTCCAATTTTAACACATTGCTAATTATAGCTACTATTTTGCTAATTTTAGCTTTAGCATTTTTTTTGCCACTTTCAGAATCCGTTTGGCCAACTTTAGCATCAGTTTAGTGTATTTTTGCTTAAGCTTTTGTTTTGCTCCCTCTAGTTAAAGTTTTCCTAATTTTTACAGTTCTATTTTACTAAATTAGGCTATAGTTTTGAAAATTTTAGTTACTTTGAGCCTATGGCTAACATTTTGGTAATTTTAGCAACTGTTTTTACAACTTTAACAGAAAATTTATTCATTTTAGCTGTAACATCATGTTTGCTATTTTTGCTAGATTAGGCTACAGTTTTATAATGTAGTTACTTTTAGCTTTTAGCTAACATTCGGCTACTTTTAGCTATTGTTTTTTTGTTAACAACTGTTTTGCTGTAGCCTTTGATTTGCTACTTTTAGCTACAGTTTTTCAGTTTTATCATATCGGTTTTTATAGCTATTGTTTTGCTAAATTTAGCTTTAGCATTTGTTTTGCCCCTTTTAGCACCTGTTTGGCTATTTTTTAGCATCAGTTTAGTGTATTTTTGCTTAAGCTTCTAGTTTCCTCCTTTTAGTTATAGTTTTTCTAATTTTAGATAGTTTTATCTTCTTATTTACCCAGAACGACCCGAAGCCTGAACCCAGGAGCTCCTTGCTGTGAGGCGTCAGTACTAACCTGGTAGAGCAGGGGTGGGCAATCCTGGTCCTCGAGGGCCGCAGTCCTGCATGTTTTACATATTTCCCTGCTCCAACACACCTGATTCAGTCACTGAATTACCTCTTCCAAGTTCTGCTGTATGGAGGACCGACACTGACATAATTAGAATTAAAAGCAGAAACATATAAATGAACCACTAAATAAATAAATACGTTTAAAATGCACCAAATAAATTAAAAAAGAACTTTATCTCAAGTTTTATAATAAAATCTTTTCATCCAGCTGGAGTCACGGTCCTGAGCAGTCCGGTCCTTGCTCGCTCATATCAGTCCACCTGCAATGTGGCCTTGGTCTGTCGATCTCCTAGTGGTCACTGCGACAACGCCAATAAACTGTCGTGGACACGTTTATTAAAAATGCATAAACACGTTGAAATAAATGCACAGAAAAAGTCTGCGTGTACGGTCGTGAATTATTTAATTCACATTCAACAGACTTCCATGATTTGTTTTCTGTTTATTGTTGCCCAGAATTAAATAATTCACGACCATACACGCAGACTTTTTCTGTGCATTTATTTCAGCGTGTTTCTGCATTTTTAATAAACGTGTCCACGACAATTTAATTTACCTTCATACTTATTTTTCCAGCTTAGTTCCAATAAATTGTATATTTTAACGTATAATTTAAATTTTACTGTTTTTTTAATTATATATTTTTATATAGTTTTCCTTTTTTTGTACATGCATTTGTGTCTCTTAATTGCTTAAATTTAATTTTTTATATAATTTTTTTTTTAAATAAAGGCAGAGGTAATCCTCTTTGCCTTTGTTTTAAACTAAACTTTAAACTTTAAGCTAAATTTAGGCACCACAAGCATGCAACACATTGAAATAAAAAGATTTGTAGGAAAAAATGTAAACATAATTAAGTATAAACATTTAAGACACACAAATGCATGTACAAGTAAAGGAAAAACAATTAATATATATGTAAAAACAGTCAAATTTAAATTACGTGTTCAAATATATAGACTAATTTATTGAAACTAACCTGGAAAAATAAATATGAAAGTCAATTAAATATAAAACAGGAGATAAAGTTCTCTAACTGGTGCCTTTAAGTGTATTTATTTAATAGTTCATTTATATAATTCTGCTTTTATTTCTAATTATGCCAGTGTTGGTCCTCCATACTGCAGAAGCCTGATAATCATCTATTCCTTCATATCAGGTGTGTTGGAGCAGAGAAACAAGTAAAACATGCAGGACTACGGCCCCCCAGGACCAGGATTGCCCAGCCCTGTGCTAGAGGGAACATAAAATACTGAAACAATTGAATCTGATCAAACTGTCTGTGATGACAGTCGTTTGTCTGAATCACAGTGTTTTTCTGAACAATACAAATCCTAATAATCACAGAAAGGAAACAAAGCTAAACTAAAGACACTGATATTTTTTATTTATTTATTAGAGCTCGATTTGATCTAGAAGAATAAAAAGGCCACTGTAGTTCTTTGAGACAAATCTGGTTTGAATCTGAGAGTGGATCATTTATTCCTGAACTTTTTCAGGTCTGATTCTGATCCCAGCTGCCTTAGCAACAAATGACACAGTCACTGTTTCCTCAAAAGAAGGAAGCGGATTGGCTGTAATGATTTCAGGGGATTTTCCTGGTTTGACGTCGACTTTTTCATCAACTGAATAAATAGACAAAACCTGTTTGATAACGGGAAGCATGCATTTGTGCAGGCTGACCTTTCTGGTTCTCCCAGTCTGCCCTCTGCCTCGCGGGGAACTTGGACCACATCGGGAACTCTTTTTGGGTAGATGAGGAAATACATTTCATATTTTCAGTGTCACATGTCGTCCCTTCAGGGCARCAATGTTTCTTATCATCGCAGCACACAGCCTGGTCAGATAAGAAAGTCACGTTAGGTGGTTCAGGGGCATGATGGGACATGCAGTCTATTATCTGACACATGTGTACCTTTGGCAATGGGCAGCACCCCCACTTCCCATCAGGAGTTTCACAGCAGGTCATATCATTGGGACACTCAGACACGCCGTCGTTGCACAAAACAGTCATTTCAAATTCTTTAACAAAGCCAGAACAGACAAAAGTTTTAAAAAAAGGATTGTTCAAGTTTTGGGAGCGTAACGTCCAGGGGTGGAGCTAGACTTTATGCAAGGGGTGGTCACGCTTTCTTTCAGGGGGCACATACAAATAAAAAAATATCCCTGGACAACATAAGGTGGCTACCACATGCAATTTCAAACAGCTTTAATTCAGCTGTTTTAAGATCATTTTGAGCTGAAATTTTGTGTGATTGTAGCTAAGAATAATGCAAAAAACATGCTGAATGCTAGTCACAATTTCAAGCTAATCGCTAGTGCTACTTTTACAAAGAGTCAGCATTATCTAGACAAAACAAAAATGAAAGTTGTTGCTGAACCAAATTTTTACCAAATTCTGAAGGCTAATCAAAAATTCAAGATGGCTCTTACAGCTAAATTTAAATGCTAAAATTCTGCCTTTTTAAGACTTATATTGCTGAAATTTGCTGTGCTAAAGCTAAGAAGGTCCCAAATATGCTGTTTTTTTTAGTCCCAAATTAAGCTAACCCCTACAGCTAATTTCAAATGGATATAAATCCATCCATCCATCCATCCATCCATTTTCTGTACACGCTTCTTCCTTTTGGTTATAAATCATATTTTAGAAATACTGCGCTGAAATTGGGTATGGTGGTAGCCAAGAGAAATCCTCATGACATTCTGGAAGCAAATCTCAATTTTAAACTAAGAGCTAATGTTCTTTTGAGAAACAAACAATTTTAGTCACATAAAGCTGAAAATTTGTATAATCATAGCTGGCAATAATCTGAATGCAATTTAAAAAAGTCAAGATGGCCACCACAGCTAATTTCAACTGGCTAGAGCTCAGACATTTTTAGAGCTACTAAGTTAAAACTTGTAGCTGAGCGCAATCCTTAATAGACTTGTAGATACTGAAAGACGGCAAAGATGTCTGCCTATGCTGAAAAGGAAAAATACTATAAATCAAAAATTTGTATGCCACATGCGATCCCCGCCTACTTGTTGTCAATCATTTGGGGGTGGCACATGGGGTGGTCAATCAGGTGCCAGGGGTAGCATGTGCCACCCGAGCCACCCCTCTGGCTCCGCCCCTGGTAACATCGAACTAACAGGGAATCCAACCTTTTTTGATGCAGGAGCGGCTGTCGATGCTGCACCGGTGGCCCTCGGGGCAGCAGTGCTTGCCATCAGCGCAGGAGACCCCCTGTTTGAATGTTAAGAGGTTAAAACTTGGCTAAGATTAAACAGTTCTGGTGGTTCGAGCGGCTGATGAGGAACAGAGCAGTTTGACATCGAAACGTCTGGATCTCCCTTCAGAAATGTGTCGTTTTCACTTTTAACTTTGTTTACCTTCTCATCATATTTTCTGGATTTATTTTCACTTTTAGTTCCTCGTGCAGAATGAGAGCAAATAAAGAAATGAGAGTTCTGTTTTGACACATGGTGCACCTCGGGATCTCTGACTTCTTCATGTGATTTAACCGTCAAAGCTGTGTTTACCGGAAGTTTCACTGCCTGTTGTTGCCTGCTTACAGTTGGAAACAAAATGCAGAAGTGTGAAAAAGGTCTTGTGTTCGACCACGACCCATGTCAGCAGCGAGCGCAAACAGAACTGAAGCTGTTTACAGGATATTTTTACCACAGAAACCTAAGAAACTGTTTGTACAGTACAGGAGGTTTATCTGCAGTGAAGTGAAACCGTTTTAGTTACAGGAAGTGAAAAAAACAATAGTGATCTTTAAACTAGAGCTGAAAAAAGTGCATTAAAACATCTTGAACTGAAGGTCAGTTTAGGTTAAAATGTAAATTAAATCAAAAATAAATACTGAGTCTTCGTCACGGCTGTGGAAAAATCAGGAAAGTTAGAATGTTAGGGTTGGGCAAAAATCATATCGTGTGCAGTTAATCGTCAGTAAAAGTTTAATCAATTATTTTTTGGCAYTTGACGATTAGGCAGACTGGAGATKTCCCCCCGTCTGTCCGCTCGAAGCTCCTCTCCTCTTCAAATATAACGAACATTTAAAAATAACTTTCTGTAATTTATTTAACATAACTCCGGTTTTACTTGGTCTATAAACACAATTTAAAGCTTGAAGTCTGTACTTTTGACACAATTTGGAACAGATTTTTATGGAGAGCAAATGTTTCCCACTGGAGTGATTTTAATTGGTTTGTGTGACTTGGATATGAGGGCATCCAGGGGATTAATCGTCTTCTTAATCGTTATCGGCTACAATTAATCCTTTTTCTTTTTTTTTTACCAAAATCACCCAACCCTATGTGAATCTAAAAGGATCCACTTATTTTTTTAGGTTAATAAAAAAAAGTTGTTTTTATTGTTGGGGACCAGTCAGATTAAGGTGAGTAATGTTTTGGTTTCTGTGATTCTTATCTCTGTAGTTCTAATAACAAACATCTGAAAAGCCGGTTCGCTCACCTTCGCAACGGGACAGCAGCCAAACTTGGTGGAGGCCTTCAGGCAGGAGAACTCCGCCGGGCAGCGGGACAAATCCGGACAGGTGTTCTCAGAGTCCTCGTCCGTGGAGGTCCGGATCATCCTGAAGGACTGCGGAGCACGACGACGGGACACTTAGATGGTTTAAAACGGGTTCGTGAAGGAAAACAAAGGGTGTCGATGAAACCTTGGAGGTGGACGGGCGGTCGGCAGAGGTCCTCTCGGCCCACGGGACGGACACGCTGGAGTTCACGCAGCTGGACGTGGACGAGTCACAGGTCGTGTCTGCTGGACAGCAGTGGACGTGGTCCTCGCAGCACTCAGCCTGACGACACACAAACAACCAGTGTCACCGACTGCTGCACAACCACAATTTAGAGCCTAAAGGAAGGTTGTCTGAGGAGAAAACAGCMTCTGTGTTTTTAACAGTTACACCAAGATGTTTTAATAAAAAACATGTTGTCCTGTAAAATAATTTACACTTAATTAACTCAATTTACAGTAAACGCAGATTAATTTATAATCCCTTTTTATTAGGGTTATAAAGTAAAAAATTAATTATATGTTTGGTAAAATAATCAACAAGTTATTTATTAAACAGTTAGCTTCAAATTCAGTTTATAGGTTTAGTGGCTGTTGCTATTTCTAACTAGCTTTAGCTACATTTTGCTCAGTTTGGACTGTTGGGGTTTTATTTTATCTGTTTTAACTTTATGTACATCGCCAAAATAAATCATATAAAAACAGATTTTTACAAAAGTATTTTGTACAAAGCTGCAAATCAGCCGAAACAGTTCAAATGTAAACAAGCATTGAATAAATGACTGTAGCTGATTTTTATTTATTTTTTTATTACGATGTAAACTTGGCTGGACAATCCAGGAACCAAAACTGAGCCGAGCCCAAATTTCTGTTCAGACTAATCATTGCTTAACAGCATAAAACCCCAAACCAAAAGTAAAGCAGAACTCTCAACAAAATCAGTTAAATTCACCTGTTTTTTCTGCAGTTATTTTACATTTCACATGTTTAAAACCACACAGGATGGTTATTTACTGTAAACAAAGAGTTAGTTTCAGATTGAGCAGGGTCCACAGCCACCTGATGGAAGGGGCAGCAGCTGAAGGAGTCAGCTGAGCCTCTGCAGCAGGTTTGACCCTCTTTACATCTGCCTCCATCCGGACACTCATCKGCTCCCACCAGAACCAGAACCAGGACCAGGAGAGTCCAGCAGATCACGGCCCAGCTCTTCATCTGCAGGTGGGGGGAAAAGAGAAAGTGAAACTTCAGACCCTTTCTTCTGCAGAACATCAGTTTTTCCTGAATAAAATCCACCAGGCGACAGAAGATTTTCAAGCTTTGCTGTTGGTTTGTTMAAGAGAAACAAAGTGAAGCAGTTTCCCCTCTGTTGTTGTTGTTTTTTTCCCCTTTTTATCTCATAAAAACAACTAAAACCCTCAGCTGATTATTTCCCTTATCTTTATTTCCCAGCACAAAAAATGAAACAATGGGAGACAGATAAAATTTAAAAGAAACAGTTTCACTTTCATCATGAAGACCGAACAGTTCGGATCTTTGTTTTTCTCTGAACACAAAACAAAAAGAAGGACTTCATGTTTTTCTTACCTTCATTAAAGGTCAGGAGCGCTGCTGCTGTGAGCTGACAGAACCTGAGCCGACCCAAATACCTGCAGAACTCCACCGAGCACGCCCCTACTGAGAGGGGAGGCGTGGTATGGCAAGCCCTTTTTACATTTAATATCTGAGGGCGGATCTTCTGGTGCGTCTCCTTTTCTGTTTTGGAGAAAAAACCCTGTCTGTGAGTCAAAAAGTACTGCAGTTTAGTAAAGGAGAAGCAACAATAAAAATATTTCCTGTTTTCTTTCTGAAGAATTTATTGTTCGGTTTAAAAACAACAACAAAAAATAATTAAACAAACAGTAATCGAACAACTTGAACATGATGTCATTTCCTCCCATTGATGTGCATTATTGTTTCAGCTGCAAAGACCCTYAAATGAATTCTTCTTAGAATAAACAAATCTCACATTTCAGATACAACCTGTTTCATGAATAAAACGATATCTGAACTTTTTAACAACTGAAAATGACAGGTTTGTAGAAATAAAGAAGAATTCAGAAAGATGTAAATAACCTTGTATCTATTCTGTAGTTAACTAAAATTTAGTCCAGTTTTACTCTAAAAACTAATCCAAGCTGTAAAAAGTCTTTCTTTTTTCAGTTTCAGTCTTACTTGCATGAATGGCCACAGATGTGTTCGATCTGCTTCCCTTTTTCTTAACTGAAGTTTGTTGAAAGAAAGTTCGGAATTTTTTGCTGAATAAATGAAAGCTCTTCCTCATTTTACTTCTGTTTTCAAACTTCTCAACATAATCCTTCAGTCAGAAGCTCTTCTGATACTTGAAAGCATTCTGCTTTTTTTATTTATTTATTTATTTATTTATTTATTTATTTATTTATTTATTTATTTATTTATTTATTTATTTATTTATTTATTTTGCTGTTTCATTCAGTGGTTCTGATTTTGCAGCTCTCTCCTTTTTTAAATCAGCCTCACATTTGTTCTCTGTGACCCGATAAGAAAATGAGATCCTCACAGATTTGTATTTGTTACCTGAATGTGAATGTTATGGATTAATTATGTATATTTGTTCTACTTTGACACTGTCCAGTAACCATATCTTATTATAACCAGTTTTYGGCTGTTTTACTCTATCGGCCAGACTTCAAGACTCCAGTAATGTATGACCTCTTTAATTTCTGATAAGGTTTTTCCAGGCTGACAGCCCTGTCATTTGGTTAGATGGTTACAGTTGGCGATCTGTGATTGGTTATAAGCATGTCACATGATGTTATAATGATGTATATTATTGGCTGCTTTCCGCTGACACGGCAGTCACAACTCAGCAGATTTCCTGATTGACTGTCTGCTGCGTTGTTGCTCAGAATTAAATCATTTTGACGACCGTACACGCAGACTTTCTGTGCATTTATTCCAACATGTTTCTGCATTCTTGGTAAATCATACCACGACAGATTTTGGCGTTGTCGGCAGGATCAGGATTTTGCGGCTGCTCTCTCTCTCTGGGCGAGGGTTCTAAAACGCTACACCTTTGGCCCTTTTGTTTGGTGTGGTTTCTGATCACACACCCTCTGCCTTAATGAAATGAAGAGATCAGAACTGTTTTTACACCCAAGGCTGAATTAGCTGGGTGAGAGTGCTTTTCACCACACTGTTTGCATTTTTTCTGCCACCATGAAAAACTCAATGTAAAATGCCCGTATCTGAAATACTGGACGAACCTTGTGCTTTTCTGACTGGCTTATTATTATGCATTTTAAATGTTCCATTGTTTTGCCTGCAATGCAATTATGTCTGTGCAACGATTGAAATTTCCTGTTTTTTTTTTTTTCTCTCAGGGACTGTTTTGTCGCCCTGAGTAGCTGGGGTGGTATTTGGCTCCCCACTCCTGGGCAGTATCAGGGTTACCCCTGGTCTTTTTCTGAGGCCCATCTCATAACATAATTTTTAAACACTTAGACACTTCTGGATGGTTGGAGTTGTGTTTTTTTAATTTTATGGTTTGTTTAGTTTGTTTTGGTTTGTGATTTTATAAGGTTTTTGTCCTTCTGTGCAGCTCCCTGGTGCAGTTTAGATGATTGTCAGCTGAGTTTCCCGGAGACTCCTCCCACGACAGTCATTTTTGTTTATTTGTTCCTTTCTGAGTTTGTGGTAGGCTGGGGAGGGGGTGTTCTGCTACCTCGAGCCTGGTACGCCACGAAGACATATTTGAGGGAATATTCACCCGTCTAGTTTTTGCTGTTGAGGTCCGGGGAGCTGAGAGTTGCTGTCTAACAACATCTATGTCATTCACAGGAGGACTAGATCTAAGCTTACTTTAGGGTTTAGCTTAGGTGTAACAAGAGGAGGGGGTGCTATTTTCTTTTAGTTTAATTTATTTAGACTTTAGATTTAGCTTTTGTTTGTTATTTTTGTTGAATTTTGGTTTTTGTTTTCTTCTCTTCATTGCACAAGCCAGCTCATCCAGTAATCCATACATTTTGAGTTCATGCCTTATGGGCACTGTGGGTTTTGTTTTTGGTGATTTTGAATTGAATGGGGTGGTAAGTGAATTTTGCACATTGTCCTAATTTTCATTACTTGAGGTTCATTTATTGACAACTACTTGTTATTAAGTTAACACTTTATCCAAGATAAGATTCTGATGGCACATAGGTGGTACATGTCATCTAATTCACTGGGAGGCAGAACTTAAGTTGTGACACCTTGTCGGAGTTTGGACTTTTAAGTTTTTTTAAATTTCGACATGTTTTTCTTCATCGATTCTTCTGATGTGTAATGATGTTTCATTTGTCATTTATGGCTTTTTCCTTTTGTATCTTACATTGGTGAATGTATATGTTGTTGGTCGTCATATAACTTGCACTATTTTTCCCTTATTTCTCCATTGTATTTGTTGTTGGGTGATACATTTGTGTTTGGCCGTTTCGTAATTATTCCATTTGGTTTGGTTTTGAGTATTGTTTACTCAAGAGGAGGGGTTGTTATGGATTAATTATGTATATTTGTTCTACTTTGACACTGTCCAGTAACCATATCTTATTATAACCAGTTTTCGGCTGTTTTACTCTGTCGGCCAGACTTCAAGACTCCAGTAATGTATGACCTCTTTAATTTCTGATAAGGTTTTTCCAGGCTGACAGCCCTGTCATTTGGTTAGATGGTTACAGTTGGCGATCTGTGATTGGTTATAAGCATGTCACATGATGTATATTATAGGCTGCTTTCCGCTGACACGGCAGTCACAACTCAGCAGATTTCCTGATTGACTGTCTGCTGTTG